GTGCCCAGTGCCTGAGGCGAAGTCCAGGAAGGACACTAGGCCTCACAAGCCTTGGCCACTAGGTGGGACACAAAGCAGGGAATGGAGGATGCACCAGGGGCGGTGGGTCACAGACTCTGGCACAGATGAGTGGGGACACCCTCAGCAAGGAGGCGCGAGCGTCTGAGGAGGTGTCGGAGGGAGGACCGTTCCAGGGGGTGGAACAGCACGCTCAGAATGAGAGCTTTTGGGAAGACGCTGTCCGTGTTTGTAAATGGCTGTTCTCTCTCTACACACATACACACACACGTTTGTGTGCTGGGTCACAGATGTCAGTCTAGAGAGGAAAGATAATTTGTAGCACTGGCTTGTGGGGTACACGATCCCCAGCCTCACGTCGGGGGCAGAGCAGGGGCAGGGGCAGGGGCAGGAAGAAAGAGACAGGAGATGTGTGGCAAAGCCACAGAGGAAAGAAGGGAAGTCTGACAACCCAAAGGCAGAGGCCTGTTCCAGACGATTCTGAGGACGGATAACAAAGTGCAGACCGGGAAAGCAGGGCCTGGAAGGAATGGGGCTGCCCCTACCCCCTCACAAAGGGGCCAGGCCTCTGAGGAGGGCAGGGCCTGGAAGCTACCAGGGCTGGGGGTCTCAGGGCCTCCAGAGAAGGCGGGGCCAAACTCAATGGCTTTGGTTGCTAGGTTGAGGAAAATGGGCACAGTATCACATGTGAATTTAAAAGGCAAATCCACACCAGAGAAAGAAAACTTTTACACTGCTAACCAGAAGGCTGGTGGTTCAAACCCACCGCCACTCCTTGGAAGGAAGGTTGGGTAATCTACTTCCGTAGTGATACAGCCTCAGAAACCCAAGGAAGGGTTGCTGTGAGTCAGGGTCGACTCAACAGCACATAACAACAACAACATCAGTGCAGTGGGACTTCTCAGCCTCTCCAGGGCTGGGGGAGAGTGTTGTTGGTGGTGAAGAGCTTGGGTTCAGGCTGAACTATTAGGTATGTCTGTGCAGGGGGGAGTGTACCCAAGAACATGTATAGGGTTGACACACAGTGGTCCTACAAGTGTATTTGTATTTTCTGTATACAGTAGGTATACAGTAGCACTTACAAGGGACAAGGTTGTAGTCACTTCTTGGCCACAGCCAGCTACCCAGAGGGACCGAGTAGTTGAA